ATGTATCTATTGCACATAACTTATTTAATTGGCACCACAGGAGTGTAAGGACGTGCCTTCTTTCTTTCTTCCGTGTTTTATTGAGCTTCTATATAGACAGAAGATTCCGTCGTCGATGAGTTCAACACTGACGAACTCGATTCTGTTTGGGAATATATGTTATGTATGCACAATTATTTATTAGAGGACAGACTGCCTCGATTGTATTCAAAATAAAGATTTTAATACAAGAAAAAACAATATTCAAGCTAAGCCTAAAGAACACTGTTCTCCTGCAGAGCGCGGCTGCCTTTACTCCAAAAGTGCATCGCAGACGCCTCGGATTTCCCAGCGTATGTTTCGCAATAAAGGACGCTGGCCGCCCTTAGCCGCTGCGCGAGTTACCAGTATTGGCAGTACAATTTAATGGTATAGTTATTTGATTGTTTAATGATCACTGCAACGTTTCTCTTGCATGTTCCAAAATGAACTATCTGTATCTTTGTTTCTCAAGCTTAAGCTAAGCTAAATGTATACAATCGTTTACTTATATGCTAGCAACATGTATATACGAAACTGCTGTTGCAGCACTTCAAGTGTCTTGCACAAGAACTGTCGCAACCAACATCCTGTCAAAGTGATAGATCAGCAACAAAGTGTTACAATGCTGTGTTGGTCATGTGTGGGCGATGACCGTTTCTCGGTGGTTTGGCAGGTGGAGCCGAATTGAATATACCCTGTAAGGTAGATTCGGTAACTCCTCCCCCCCTGGAATGAAGTAACGGTCACGTCGAAGGATTTATGTATTTCGTTGTATTCTACATTTAGTGTTTTGTATATATTGTTTTATAGTTCTTAATAAAATTATTAATTATTCCCTGTTCTTGATTTATGTGTTCAGTAATATTTTCAAATCTTAGGATAGTTTTTTTGTTAAATATTATTTGTCTGTTAACATTTTCTGTTATTTGGTTTTCGTTTTCTTTAATATCATTAAATTTATCAGTAACGGATTGGGCGTCTTTTGCGTACATATTTCCTGTTACTACTTTTATTATACTACCTAGACCGTTTATATCCTAGATATCCCTTTTGGTGTACGTCAGGTTGACTACTCTTTTTTTTGTAATCTGCCTTCCTGGTTTCTTGATTCGTGCTATTCTCTTGGAAATAAATGTCCCTTTCTTTAATAGCCCATTCAAAAGATTCCTGGAGGTAAGTAGGTCTCATAGATCTTACTGCTAATCCAAGTGGATTAAAAACGTATTTAGACAGGTATTTGCGAACAATTCCTTCTTTGTTTTGATAAGAATTGGTTCGCATTCTTTGGTATCTGTTAATTTGAAAAATTATGATCTCGCAAATTTTTTCAAATAAAATTTGTACTGGGTATTGATAATCAGCGAGGTAATGCAATTCGAACATGAGAGTTTGTTCGTCTCGGTTGTTGGAACAGTGCAGAATTAATGCAACCTTGATCTCATCCCAATTAAGGCTGGCTCCAGATGTGTGAACCGCATCATCAACCTTGCCTTCAATTTTCTGCCTAATTGCCCTTAGGAGCATTTGTCCGTATCGGTTTCTCTAATTAGAAGGAGGATTTCTTTTACATTGTTAATGAAATCGCTTAGCTTTTTGGGGTTACCGTCATTAGGCGGTAGGAAGCGGATTATGTCCGAAATTCTAAGAGACGAAACTAAGTCCATATTATTTGCTGTTATTGCAGCTTGGTAGGGTGGAGGAGAGCTAGATGTCGAAATCATTGATGGTGTTGGGGGTATTCTTGTGACTGTCTCGAGTTATTGGTCGGGGTCTTCCCTAATGTCCGATAAACTAGTACTGATTCTGATCCTACTCCTAGTGTTTGCTGGGTGCAATTGTTTAATTTGGAATTCGGTTCTTGGTTTATATCTCTAACTTAGTTATTCTAGATTTGACGTTGTTGGAAAGGTCTTAAGCTATTTTGACTTAATTTGTCTTAACAATATTTAGATATAACTGTGTGTGTAGTGTAGTGAGTGTTTGTTTTAAGAATTCTTTGCATCTGTATATGTGTGGAGTGTATTGTGGCTGTGTAGACTTCTCTTCCTAGATTGTTGTATATGTGTTTTAGTATCTGTAATTGATTGTGGCAGTAATTTTTTTTCTTATATATTTTTTTGTATACATATTAATAAGTTATGTTTCGGCTGTTGTACAAGATATAGCATTGTAAAATTGGTAGTTTGTATATCAAAATGGAAGGAAAATGTGCATTTGTGTATGTGTTTATTTTTATGTTTTATTATACCCTGAACCCGCCATGTCCATCCATCCATCCGTCTGTCCTTCTGTCCGTGAGTCCGTATGTATGACCGCAAGGATCTCAGAACCTATAAAAGCTAGGGAAATTTTAGCTGTAGGTCCTCCTAGTCCCCGCGCAAATCGAGTTTGTTTCCGATATTCGATAACTTGCCCCATTTACAAGTAATCGATAAAAATCGATATAGAAAACATGTTTTTTGAGCAATCTTGGAAAATAATAAGAGCTAGAGTCACCAAACTAGACATGTATCTTCTAGAATAGTATAAATATATCAAGTATTTATTTCTTTTTATAGCTATCCCCACCTCCCCGATACTACCTCATAGCTATAAATCAAGTAAATAAACCTATTTATGCTACCCACAAATATAAGTCACAATTTAAATGCAATTGATAAAACACGAATATTCTATAGTATTATACAATAAGATGTACTGTAGATTTCATGAAGATCGGTTAAGAAACAAAGAAACGATTACAGAAAACGTGTTTTGACTTTTCTCCTATCAGCGGCAACAAGCTCAAATTCCGAGAATTTCTGTATACATGTACACACACACATTCACGCGCGTCTTCTTTGAATTCTATCAACAGCATTGCAATTGCGATTGTATTGTTTTCTGTGCTGCTATTTTAATTCGTTTTTTTCTCAATAAAAATCAATTATTGGTGTGGCTGTTGAGTAGAGGCGGCAGTAATGAGGTCAGTTGCGAGTTCGCACCCTGCTAAATGAACTTTTTTTTTTAATTTATTTTATCTTTAGTGCTAGCTGAATTTGGGATTGGAGTAAGAGGGTTCAGGGTAACCTCTAGTCGGGAGCTCCCGACTAGAACCTCTTACTTGTTTATTTATTGTACTTGTTGGAAAATTATTTTTATTTCATTTGCCCTAGTAATATTGGCAGCGTGAATCGTATGACGTGGCTATGAGTTTTATCGTACGCTTCAGTGACATATTCAAACCTTTTCGAGTTGCGTCCAGCGTGTCGATACGTTTGATCGACTTGCTTCAGTGACCTATTCAACAATGAACTGATCCGCGTCCAGCGTTTGTTGCAACTCGCGCTTGACACTATTTTATTATTAGATACAATTTATTTTTTATTTTTATATTCATTTGATATTTATTAGATTTATTTGCCTTTCTGCCTATTGGCTGCCTTTATTGGGTTGTGAGAATATAAATTTTCTTTGCCCTGTTGGCTTTTCTGCCCACTGTACTATGTTCGAACGATTTTACTGATACAGCCGTCGGACCGCCGCTATGAGTTTTACCGTACGCCTCAGTGACCGATTCGAATCAGTTCGAGTTGCGTCCAGCGTGTGGATGTGTTTGATCAACTTGCTTCAGTGACCTATTCAACAATGACTGATCCGTGTCCAGCGTTTGATGCAACTCGCGGTCACTTAGACATGCGGCTGGTTATGCACCAACTGTTTCCCACCATCGCTGTTCGAACGTTAAGAACCGCACACGTTGTTGAGGCCAAAAAACAGCATCGAACTAGTTGTTTGGTTTGATACGCGCTTTCAGCGATGTGTGGGCGTATGGCCTGACGCTACATTAGGCGAATCGTTTTATTCTTTTGTGTATTTTAGCACATCATTTGCTGCTTTTAACTTGATATTTCGTAATTGTTGTTACATATATAAATTTGTTTGTAGTAGTAGAAATTTATTAGCATCACGTATATGTGTTTTACATTAACTTATTTATTTATTATCAATTTCTTTGGTTTCTTTTTCCTCTTTTTTTTTGTTTAAAATAGTATTATCTTGCATAGTTTTTAACATTGTACAACAACTTTCACAAAACTTTCACAGAGTGGTCACATAATGTGATCTCAACTACTTACAAAATTTGACATAATATGATATTCATCCTTGGTCCTTGGGCCGTGGTCTTTGGGATTGTACATATGTTCTTTGAGCGGCTGCGCCAGTTACCAATATTAGCAGTACAATTTAATGGTACAGTTATTCGATTGTTTGAATAAAGTACGAGTTTAATGATCACTGCAACGTTTCTCTTGCATGTTCCAAAATGAACTTACTGTATCTTTATTTCGCAAGCTTAAGCTAAGCTAAATGTATACAATCGTTTACTTATATGCTAGCAACATGTATATAAGAAACTGCTGTTGCAGCACTTCAAGTGTCTTGCACAAGAACTGTCGCAGCTAACATCCTGTCAAAGTGCTAGATCAGCATTGCAACAAAGTGTTACTCGGCGGTTTGGCGGGTAGAGCCGAATCGAATATACCCTGTATGGTAGGTTCACTAACTCGCGTGTTGCTGGCAACCATCTTTCGATCGTGGCAGACAACTATTCGAGTTTGGAGTCGTTTAAAAGCGTAGTGGTCAAATGTGACGAGGCTCGTCCCGGCTACTTTGGTTTCGATGCTTCCGTCATAGCAACGACATAACCGGTCGTTGATGATAATGCGCCATTTTCTACCAATGTAACTGGATCGAGGTAGCTCGCCCATGTTTGGCAATGTGCCATGCCACCAGAATGTGGACCCTGAGCGCACGAGCCGTTCGCTGCTTGTGAGCAGAAAGTTGTAGTCGCCGTTGTTGTGTAATTCGTCAGGGTCAATACTTGATCCTCGCATACCGCCACAATTTTGTTTTTGAGGTGCAGGGAGCAGCCGTTGCGATCCGGCAAGATTATAACCTCGTTGCACGTAAAATTTACTTAATTATACTCTATGATGTAATATATAACATTATTTGATTTAACATTTTTAAACTAGATACATATATATAATGGGCTGGTGATTGTCGAATCTAAAAGTTGGTCAGCAAAAATATATTCTAGATCAGCATGGTCATGTTCGGTGTTTACATGGAAAGGATTATTGTGAGCATTAAGTTACATATTTCCGTAGTGAGCATTCCTTTTCTACCTAACTGAGTCTATTTTTAAAGCTATTTTTAAGCCACCTTTAAAACAAATGGTAACCGGAGTCTGTTAAGCGGCTTATTTGTGTTTAACATTAGCTGTCCATTGTTCGAATCGACCAACTGTGGCTCTCTAATTCTAATGTTCTGTAAGTCGTTTGCGTCGCGAGTGCCGGCCATCACCTTAAAGGCTGTGCTCAAGAAGTCTAAACTACTCGCCATCTTCTTGATAACAAGTCGTGTACGTGTCCGGTGTCAACAAAAAGAACTGGAATAATAAATTGAAAATCGAATGTCAAAATAAAATTGACAATGTTGAATCCAAAATTATTCAATAGCAGAGTCTTGATGGTTTTTGACTTAGACGCGTGCTCATTATCATAGTACATCTGCTTAGCGCGTGGGAAGAAGTTCATCAGTACCGTAAGCGTTGCGCTTACATGTTCGATAGTACCTTACGCTATTTGTTGCGTTAGAAAACGTCAATATAACATTTCCCGATAGACGAAGGGATTGGAGTGTGTGCAATTTCCTGCTTCTTCAGGTGCCTGACGTTCTTTGCTGTGATCAAATTTTGCTCTTTGGGGTCACCTCGTTAGCGATTTTGTTCATCTTCGGAAAGTAGTTACCTATATTATATTTTCCTGATCGATTCTAAAAGCGCTACCTTATTAGTTAGCAAGGTCAATGTTGAATTAAATTATCCAGTCTGAGTTCACCCATCTCCTGTTATCATTGTAAGTAAAATCAAGGTTGGTAATGATGACCTTAAAGTTTAAAACTGTATTGAAGGAGGCTAGTACAGCGTCGACTTGACCTCTAATCTTGCTACTAAATTAATGACCGCTTGATAGTGACGCGAGCTGCCATTGTATCTTTCGAAAAGTATGTTCGCGGCATGCGGCGCATAGCACCACGCTTCGTTTCCTATGTACCGGGGAATTCTGAAAGACACTTTTCGTAGCTCGTAGCACTGGAATTCGTCCAAAATGTATACGTCTTTATAGACTGAGTTTAAGGATTGCCATATGTGTGAATTTCGTGTCAACTCACTAATTTGATGATATTATAAGGCTTCGGTTTGAGCTGTCAATGCGGCAAAAGGCCGTCTAGGATTGAACGCAACTGTTGCCAGTCCATGTTATTCTTTCTGCGTGCTTTCATTTAAAGATTTTGTAATCGTAATAAGACACTTCGTCACTGTTAATTTCACAACTAAGGCTCATAATTAATCACAAATAACTCAAAGCACGCTGAGAAAATGTAATTATTCATTAACGATTGAGACCCTGACCGGAAAAACAATAATGCTTTCAGTTATAAAAAAATGCACTCGTTTTAAAATGTTTTTCGGGGTTTTTTTATTTACTAATTTATATTTATTTACTTTTTAGGAAAGAGTTTTTTAGGATTCAGATTTTTAGCGATATATAATAATGTTGCAAAAAAATTACATGATTGTGAGTTTTACAATTAAATGATAATGATAATGGAATTATCCGCTACCTGTGGTGGTCCCACGCAGCAGTCGGTTCGATGTTTTTCTTTTTATGACCAGAACCACTAACCAAACAATGCATAGACATGTCAACTAGCAAAATAATCGTATCCCGATAAATCGTCAACGAGGGAACCCCAAGGGTGCCTGCGGCCATTTTAGTGTGCCCAGATAGAGTAAGACCCATTGAGTAATAAAGAGACAGAGCTGAAGGCTTGCTCCGAGCTTTTTTTACCGTTTTGAAAATCCCGAGAGGTAGATCGGGATGGTCCGCAAACGCAAAATCCAACTCAAAAATAAAGCTCTTTTACTATAGAAAGCAACAACAAATCACTCGCAAAACAACAACAGTACGCATTTGTTTTTATCGTCGTCCGTCTTGATCAAAAGTTTCTGCGCGATGATGAGGACATAGGAAACTCAGTGCAAAGAAAAGGGACAAATAATGCCACTGTGTTTGTTGCTGGTTTCTCTGTCGTTCCAACAAGGCGGCGCGTAGAAACAACAACAACACTATTTGGGTTCTAATGTTGTTCTTGCATAGCCGAGTCTCGGCGCAAGTAGGTAGACAAATTGAATGCGAGCAGGCCATGCCATTTAAATCAAAGGGTTACGCACACGGCGCGTCAACATCATATACTATGACGTCACATTTTAAAGAATTTAATTTCTTGTGATGCTTAGAATATATTTCTATCTTTATTACGGACATTAAAGTAATATATTAAAAGGGTCTTTTATAAAAATGCATGTATTTAATAATGTATTACTTTATTGTACGCCACGATCGCACACAAAAAACCTTTAGCTGTGACGTCACATGCGCAACAGAATGTTGCAATCTTCTCAAATTCATATACTTCCCTTGGCTTGGAAAACACATACATGCATATTTTTTGCCAATGTGTGTGAGATGAGACACACATGCCAACAACTATTTGGCGCGTCGAGGCATTGATACCCTTATTTATAGAAATGGTATAGAATGTTTAAAGAAAACAATTATTATTGATTGTACTAATAGTTGCACACTAAATACGAAATTATATTTTTCTCAGACATTAGATAAAAATGTGTATATGAGAAGGTTAGTGGTATTTGGTTACAGAACTTATGAATAGTTAAAATACCCTATTTTGAGAAAGGGTGCCTTGCTGATCGAAAAATGAAAAATTATAAAATCTGCCGGGCTGCTTGCAAGTTGAAAGCGAGTGGAGAAGAAGAAGGCATAACTTTGCGAATTAAAGGCATAGCAGTGCTTAGAAACCACAACAATGAGTTAGAAGAGTGTAGAAGCTTAGATCATAGGCTGTAGCTTCAAACCAAAAAGGGATAGCAGGGACAGAATTTGGGGTGTGCTTTTTTCATTGTCGAGTCGTTTGTTTTGATTATGGTTGTTGTTGGTTCATATGGGAAATGTTCTGAAGTTGTCTTTGGTTTTTGGGCAACGGCAGAAGTAGCTATAGACAGCCGAGTGTTGTGCTTGCAATTTGTCATTGAGTTATACTCAATTTTGTTTGCAACCTCGCTATCTCTCATGAAGTGTTTCGAAAAAGAGCTTTTGATCCAAAAGCTGAAGGCTTGCTCCGAGCTTTTTTTACCGTTTTGAAAATCATGAGAGGTAGATCGGGATGGTCCGCAAACGCAAAATCCAACTCAAAAATAAAGCTCATTTTCTATAGGAAGCAACAACAAATCATTCGCAAAACAACAACAGTGCGCATTTGTTTTTATCGTCGTCCGTTTTGATCAAAAGTTTCTGCGCGATGATGAGGACATAGGAAACTCAGTGCAAAGAAAAGGGACAAATAATGCCACTGTGTTTGTTGCTGGTTTCTCTGTCGTTCTAACAAGGCGGCGCGTAGAAACAATAACAACACTATTTGGGTTCTAATGTTGTTCTTGCATAGCCCGAGTCTCGGCGCAAGTAGGTAGAAAAATTGAATGCGAGCAGGCCATGCCATTTAAATCAAAGGGTTACGCACACGGCGCGTCAACATCATATACTATGACGTCACATTTTGAAGAATTTCATTTCTTGTGATGCTTAGAATATATTTCTATCTTTATTACGTACATTAAAGTAATATATTAATAGGGTCTTTTATAATAATGTTTGTATTTAATAATGTATTACTTTATTGTACGCAACGGTCGCATACAAAAAGGCCTAGCATGTGACGTCACATGCGCAACAGAATGTTGCAATCTTCTCAAATTCATATACTTCCCTTGGCTTGGAAAACACATACATGCATATTTTTTGCCAATGTGTGTGAGATGAGACACACATGCCAACAACTATTTGGCGTGTCGAGGCATCGATACCCTTATTTATAGATATGGTATAGAATGTTTAAAGAAAATATTTATTATTGATTGTACTAATAGTTGCACACTAAATACAATATTATATATTTCTCAGAGATTAGATAAAAATGTGTATATGAGAAGGTTAGTGGTACTTGGTTACAGAACTTATGAATAGTTAAAATACCCTATTTGAGAAAGGGTGCCTTGCTGATCGAAAAATGAAAAATTATAAAATCTGCCGGGCTGCTTGCAAGTTGAAAGCGAGTGGAGAAGAAGAAGGCATAACTTTGCGAATTAAAGGCATAGCAGTGCTTAGAAACCACAACAATGAGTTAGAAGAGTGTAGAAGCTTAGATCATAGGCTGTAGCTTCAAACCAAAAAGGGATAGCAGGGACAGAATTTGGGGTGTGCTTTTTTTATTGTCGAGTCGTTTGTTTTGATTATGGTTGTTGTTGGTTCATATGGGAAATGTTCTGAAGTTGTCTTTGGTTTTTGGGCAACGGCAGAAGTAGCTATAGACAGCCGAGTGTTGTGCTTGCAATTTGTCATTGAGTTATACTCAATTGTGTTTGCAACCTTGCTATCGCTCGTGAACTGTTTCGAAAAAGAGCTTTTGATCCAAAAGCCTCCTCTGTCTCTTTATTACTCAATGCTCAATGGCTGGCAACGAGATAAATTTTATTAGAGTTCTAGCGCTGATCATGCATGACCTATCCCAAATTTGTATTCACATACGAATGCATGTTGTGTACTGAGGTTGACTCCGTAGAACATCTGTTTTTTAAAGTCGATGCAAATATTTATTAAATATTAAAATTGAGAAAATGAATCTTTACAAACAAAAAATTTGCACTCTTATTTTAATTTTTTTATTTCCTAAAAATAATAATAATTTAATTAATAAGTTAATTTAAAGAAATTATATAAATATTTGCATCGACTTTAAAAACTTCAGTACACAACATTCATAGGTGAATATAAATTTGGGATAGATCGTGCATGGTCAGCGCTAGAAAACTAACAAAACTTATTTATTTGCCAGCCAAAGTTAGAGCAGTGAAAAACAACACAAATATATGTCGGGGAATAGATGATTTGCTTGAGTTAAGCGCCTTATCGATAATTACTTTGGGCTTCGATTGTAGATGGTGCTGTATAGGTCTGCATTTAGACAGTGTTGTTTAAGTATTATCGAGTGAGATAATAGTGGCAGCGCTATTTATCGAGCGTAGTTCTGGGACGGTTAGAAAATACACGTGCGAACGAAGGAACTCTCAGAAACTCGCTGCACTCGAAATTACTAAACTAATATGGAAAATATTAATAACAACGACAGCTCTTCTCCAATATCAGAAGTGGGATCCAATCCTCGCCAATTAACCATGGAGGATCAACTGCGTATGCTGATGGAACAGCAAAACCAAAATTTCCTGGTGTTGGCAAAAACTTTGCAAGCGCCGGCACGTGAGTCTGTACAAAATGGCGCCGTTAATTTGCCGAAATTTAACGCAGACATTCCTGGATCAGACGCTACGCAATGGTGTGCAACAGTTGATATCGTTTTAAGCGAACAACCATTGCAAGGCAGCTCTTTAATTTTGGCACTAAGTAATTCTCTTGAAGGAAGTGCATCTCAGTGGCTGTCCCAAATTTGTTACGCGGGCATAACATGGCCGGAGTTCAAACAGTTATTCGAACCGAGATATGCAAATACAGAGAGGCCAGCAGCCGCATTTTTACATTTGCTTAATAGCCGCCCGAGCAACGGTGAAGGTCTCTCGGTATATGCAAGCTGTTCAGTGACGTCACTCGTGACAAAATGGCGAGACATGAACACTGAGAATATTGCTGTATCAGTTGTTTTGGGACATTTGGCCAACTTTGATCGTCGTGTGCTGAAAATCGCATACACAGCCAATATTCAAAACCGACGCGACTTACAGAGTGAGTTGCAAGTGTTTACGCTTGACAAGAGGCCACAACATTTTGGAAGTGAGAATTCGGATGCAAAGCGTTTTAAGATGCTTCCTATCAGGTGTCATCTTTGCGGTAACATGGGGCACAAGAAGGCCGATTGCAGGAGTCGAAAGCATTTTGAGGGTACATCGCAGGGGCAGGATCACCGAGCTCCTCAACCTCTTCAACAGCATGGAAAGAGCAACATCACTTGCTATCGTTGTACGCAGCAGGGTCATATAGCGCCATATAGTATGCTGGTGCGAGGTGAGAATATTCCGATTATGTTTTATTCAGGAGCAGAATGTTCGCTAGTTAAAGAAAGTTTTGTAAGTAAATTAAGTGGTAAAAGATCAAGTAATGTTGTAACACTAAAAGGTATTGGTAATGTAAATGTTCATAGTACGATCCAAATTGTTTGCGATGTAATGGATGGAAATAGTTTAAA